TTAATTTAACTAGATAGTTATTCAAATAATTATTTCAACTTACCCAATTAATAAACTAACACATTATATAATTAATTAACAATTATAATTATTTCAACTTATCCAATTAATAAACTAACACATTATATAATTAATTAACAATTATAATTATTTCAACTTACCCAATATATAAACTAACACATTATATAATTAATTAACAATTATAATTATTTCAACTTACCCAATATATAAACTAACACATTATATAATTAATTAACAATTATAATTATTTCAACTTACCCAATATATAAACTAACACATTATATAATTAATTAACAATTATATACAAATTAATCAAATATTAATATTAAACTAATTAATATACTAACAATTGTATTTAAAATAAATCTAATAAATATTTCTTTAAATCGAACCATTCAAACCGAATCAGAAACTCAATCAGACCGGTCCGACCAGACCGGGCGAACGGGGTCCGACCAGACCGGGCGGACCGCGAGCTTACTGTATTAAAAAAAAAAATTTACCTCCTCGCCGACGACTTGAGCAGCGGCGCCGCGGCTTCTCCTGGACGGCGAGCTCCTTCTCCTGGGCGGTGGCGTCGAGCCGAGGAGGAGGAGGTCCGGCGGCGTCGGCGAGCAGAGGAGGGTGGTCGCCGGCGTCGGGGAGCAGAGGAGGAAGAGGTCCGGCGGCGTCGGTGAGCAGAGGACTGGGAGGGTGGTCGCCGGCGTCGGGGAGCAGAGGAGGAGGTGGTCGCCGGCGTCGGTGAGCAGAGGAGAGGTGGGAGGGTGGTCGGCAGGAGCAGGAGGGGTGGGGGGGGGGGGTGGGTGGGAGGGGGGAGGAGGTGGATAGATAGGGTTAGGGGGCAGGGGTAAATTGGTCTTTTCTTTCCTAACTATGGGCGGCAAATAGTAATACGATGGGCGGCAAATAGCGATTCATTAAAAATATCCACCTAATCCAATCCATTTGATCCAAATCCAATTGGATTGGTGGATTAATGGATTGGATCCATTGATCATTGGCAAATTACGGTTTAGTACCTATAATTTTTATTTTTTACATTTTGGTACCTAAAATTTAATTTTTTATACGAAAAATATCATTGAAAAATTACGTTTTGGTACCTAAAATTTTTCATTGTGACATTTTAGTACCTAAACTTTTTACATTTTACATATTGGTCCTTGGTTGAGGATGTCATTTGGATTCATGGATAATCCACCAATCCACTTGATCAAATCCATGAATCCACCAATCCATTAGATCCAATCCATTTGATCCATGGATCCACCAATCCAATCCACCAATTCAATCCATTTGCCACCTCTAAACACAAACATCAGTCTCTAAGAACGGCCCTTCTCTGCCGATCAGATCTTCCAGCAGCCGCTTCCAGCCATGTCGATGTCGGGGCTTTTCCACTAGAGCGAGAGCAGTGATCAGAAGCATGTCTACCAGGACACCGACTGGCGTGAGTCAAAGAAACTAATTGAGAATTTGGGTAATCGGATTGAAGTGTTAACAAGTAAAAGAATCGTACCACATTTGATAAACAAAGTTATCGAATACTATATGATTTATGGGGGCAACAAGAAGTAAATTTTTCCCCCGAGTAATTTCAAGACAATAGTTAGAAAGAACCACTACCCACAATCCTTCCCATCCCAATAACAAGTCACCCTACAAAATTAAAAGGAAGCTAACTTCTAACCGAGACAGCAACAGGGTTTTAGTGTCACTCTATGAGTAGCCCAGTTGGCAGTCCACGAAACCGCACAAGTACCAAGTATTTTAAATGTCGATTTATTTCCTGTAGTCTTACTGTCTCAGTCTCTTCTTTGGAGGAGTTAGATCCCGGTTCTCTAGGTAAGATCAGATTCGGACAGCTTGTTCGATTAATCAGCTCGTTCAGCTGGCCCTTAAACAAGTTGTCGAACTCATTATTGATGGTTGAATACTTATTATATCATATGTTAATTTCGATCTGACCCGATTTACCCGACTTGTTTGGCCTGTTTGGGGCGGGTCGGGGTGGGCATGGGTACCTCTCATCGACCCGACCTGCCCTGACACACCTCCATTCTCGACCCGTTCTTGCCTAAATTACAGATAATCTTAGTCAAATTACTTAAGATTTTCCTCTAATTACATTATATTTTAGCTTTAATAAAGTTGTAAATAATTGACAAGATCAATTTCTTCAGTATCAAATTACTTAAGATTTTCCTCTAATTACATTATATTTTAGCTATAATAAAGTTGTAAATAAGTGACAAGATCAATTTCTTCAGTAATCTAACTACATTTTATCATATTATGGTTTCTTTCTTGATATTTCAATGAAAATAACGAACATTTCTAATGTTTTTCACATAAATTACATACCCATTGGGTCGACCTATCCCGACCCGCGCCCCGTGATAAATTACCCAACCTAAACCTGACCTACCATGGGACGGATATGAGTATCGAGATGCCTGCTCGTACCTGTCCATTGCCATTCCTAATACGGAGATGATCTACTGTATCATTTATCCGGTCTATCTCTACTTAATTTGGTTTGATTATGATAAATATAGTTGTTTATTGCTTTGAGCGGCCACTTCTACAAAATTTTGGACTCTTTGTCATAATATCTTAACCGATAAGGTAAAGAAAAAAGTTTGTCAGAAAATAAACGCTTTTTTGTTTACGAATAGAAATGCTTTTATTCCTTAACCCATCAACGGAAACCAAGTACATTCTTACAGTAAAGGAGAAACAAGATCAGCAACAGTCAACCAATCCATAGGTAGAGATCCCAAACGCTCATTCCTCGCCATCCAATTAGCAAGACCATTGAGACGCCTGGGGATAAACATCACCTTGATTCAGGGAGCCAATTGGAGGAGAGAAATGATACGTACCAAAATTGGTCGACATTGCCAAGACCATCGATAAGAAAATAAACACTACTGTGACAAACTTTCTCATAGTAAAATCTAAAATGACAACTTCATCACAATTCAAAGGTGTTTGTCACTATATGCCAAGGGGCTTGCTATTTGCCGCCTAAAAAATTGCTATTTGCCGCCAACTAAAAAAAAAATATATATGTACATCTTTGGTTAAGAAGTTTCACAATCTACAACATATTCAACTTTCAGAAAACGTATTGAATCAGAAAAAATAGACGCTCGCCGGAAAAGTCGCCGGAAAACCATTGGGAAAGCCCATCCTCGACGTAAACTGCGGACACGCATCCATGAATCATCACTAAGCAGGTGCGTCAATTTTTTGTAGTTTCGAACAATTTTTCCGACGTTTGCAACGAACAGACGGTGGGTCGAAAATTTCCGGAGGCCGGAACCTGGCCGGGCCAAAAATTTCCGGCGGTCGGAACCTGGCTGAGCCACAAAATATTTATTGCTCAGCCTGGCTCCGGCCACCGATTTCCGTCGGCCCGGCCAGGTTCCGGCCGCCGGAAATTTTTGGCCCACCGTCTGTGTTTGGAATTTTTCGGAAAAATTCGATTTTAGGAGTTGAATTTAGAGTTTAGGAGTTGAATTTAGCGTTTAGGAGTTGAATTTAGCGGTTAAGACTTGAAATTAGCGTTTAGGAGTTGAATTTAGAGTTTAGGAGTTGAATTTAGCGGTTAAGAGTTGAAATTAGCGTTTAGGTTCACAGGAATATTGATGTGTTATATTGTAATTGTAGGAAAAATGTCAGAGTGGTTACCGGCCGATCATGATTACACAGCAGAATTTGAGAATGGGATCCATTATGCAAGTGTGAAGTTAGCTGCAAAAGCAATCGCTCAGGAGTGTGGGTTCTTTATTGTTAGAGGAGCATGGAAACCGAATACTGCTGGACTTCATCCTGTTACTGCCCTCTGTATGTATTGCGACAGAAGCAGTAGGATCGTTAAGTCTTATAAACCAGACCCTACGAAGGAGACGCGTGGGAATATTAGTTCGAAGGGTACTGGTTGCCAGTTTCAGATATGTATTAAGGAAGTATGGCAAAAGAATGGTCCAAACACATGGGTCATAGTGGGAGTGACAAGTCGTGAAATCGGAGCTAATAGAGGGTTTCACAACCATGAAAAGGTGTTGTATCCAGAACATCACCGACACAACAAACAGTTTAGTGAGGCTGAAAAAGAGAGGTTAAGATTAATGAGGAAGGCGGGGGTGAGACCAAATCAACAGAAGATGACACTCAATACTGAAGGGGGTGTGAATCATGATATCAAACAGATGTACAACAGAAATTACAAGACAAGATTGGATGAGATGGGTGAAATGGATGCGATACGGTTTGCGCTTCACGGAGCTGAACAACGTGGGCACCATATCTGTTTGCAAAAGGACTCTAATAATGTGCTCACTAATCTATTTTTTGCGCACCCGACGTCCATTCAGATTTTGCATGCATGGCCGTACGTCATCCTCATTGACTCGACCTACAAGACGAATAGGTATGGCTGGCCATGGGTTGAGATTATTGGGGTTACCCCAGTCAAGAAGAATTTCCACATTGCATGTGCAATTATTAAGCAGGAAACAAAGGAAACATATGAGTGGCTGCTGCGATGTATTAAAGGGTTGCTCGGTGATACGGTTCCGAATGTCATTGTGACAGACAAAGAAGGTGGTCTGCTTGCTTCTATTCCTGTGGTCTTCCCTCTCCCACATACTGTCCACCTACTATGTTTATAGCACGTCAACAACTGTGTGAAGCAAAAATTTGAGCAATTACTGGGTGGAATTTCAAAAAGAGAGGTAGCACAAGCGGTATGGAAGAAATATTTCGACAAAGCTGCATGGAGTTGGACTCAGGAGGGTTTTCTTCAAAAGATTAATGAGTTTGAGAGGGTCTGGACACAGAAGAACATAAAAATGGCCGACTACGTGCGAGGTGAGTGGTTGCCTCATCAGACAATGTGGGCAAAATGCTACACGAACCATGTGTTTCATCTTGGTAACACGAGCTCGAATAGAGTTGAGTCATCTCACTCTTCATTCAACCAGGTTCCGGCTGCCCAATCCATCGTGAAGCCCAAGCCTCATCAGGTCCAACGACAGGTGGCTCAAAGTGAGATGACCTGAAACCCGGAAAGTACTCGTAGATCCAACATCGCAGAAGTGTGAGACAACCAGCCACCCCCTGGCACCAGCACGAGACGCCTGACCAAGGCATCTGTACAACCAAGCAAGTGTACCTGATGCCCAACTGTACTGATCTATCTCCTCCAACTCGTCCAAAAATAGGTTCACCACCGGCCGAACCCTGTCTCTACTCTTGTCCACAAACAAAGTGGACCCCAACATCAACAACAAGTACGACTGCGCCTCTGTCACATGTGTCCCGTTCACCTGCAAGTATCTGGACGCCATCTCCGCAAGAAAACCACCCTTCTCGTACCACTTACCCCTATTAGCAAATCCAGGGGCCTCCGAACGACTACTCAACTGCTCCGAGTTCATCCCAAGAAGCGCAAACAAACCCACCTCCGGATGGTCAAGCTGCGCAAAAGTCCTACTCATCAGCCGTCCATCAACAGGAATCTGCATTAAGTACTGAACATCGTGGAGGAGGATCGTCATCTCACCAAAAGGCAAGTGGAAGGTGTTCGTGTCTGGGTGCCACCTCTCAACAAAAGTTGAGATCAAAGCCTCGTCAATCGCTATCTTGCGGAACATAGAGTACATCAGGTGCTGGAGACCTGACTGCTGAACCAGATCCTCCGCCTCAACATGACTAAACAAGTAGCTACCCAGATAATCAACCGCCGATGTACGGGTGTAGCAACTGATGACCCCTCGATCTCCAAGCCCCATCCAAAGCGCATAGGAAGCGTGGCCACGGAAGCTCCTAATGAGGCTAGGATCCGTAGGTCCACCAGGATACTCACCAACAAGCTCCCACGGTGGAGGACCACTCGAACGTCCTCCCTACTCCGTCCAGTCTCCGAGCTCTCTGTCTCCTCACGAGCAGGTGGTACGAATCGCCCAGCTCGGTCCCTATACATAGCAGGACGTGATGTTGCCGTACGAGACGGCACTCGTCCATGTCCACGCGTAGGTGGAGGGACCTCGATATCCTCATCATTATCGTCCTCATCAAACTCAGTCGAGACCACTCTCGATGTAGCACCCTGGTTCCCCCCATGGGAACCAGACGCCCGTGATGACGAACGAGCAACTACAGTAGGAGCCTCTAACCCATCCTCCCCTAAATTTGCCTCTGACTGATGTCCAATATCTCGAGAGCGCTTCTTCTCCTTATTCTTCTTAGGCACCTTCCTTCGTGTTGATGCATCAACAACCCTACCATTGAATCTATACAACTCACTCCCACCCGCATCATCCATATCTAATTATATACAAATTTACACAATATCATACTTAGATGCGCACTAATTAATTAAATTTCTATTAACTAATGTACTATTAACATTAATTGTTAATTAATTACAAATTAATTAATTTTCTATTACCTAATGTACTGAATATTAACATTAATTGTTAAACCAATTCTTAATTAATTTTCTATTAACTAATCTAAGTAATTAAACATTCATACGCCTATTACAAAAAAAAAACATTTATACACCAACTTAAATAAATATTAACACTAATTTCTATTAACTAATTAAGTAATTTTTTATTGACTAATTAATTAACATATTAAATTAAATACAAAAACAGGCTGGGCAGAAAAAATTTTGCGGGCGGCGCGCCGCCGGGCCGAAATTTTTTTGCGGCCGGTGCGACGTCCGGCCGAAAAAATTTGCGGCCGCGGCGCCGCCAGGCCGGAAGAAATTTTCGGCTGGGCGTCGCGCCGGCCGAAAATTTCTTTTGGCTCGGCGGCGTTTCGGACACAATTTTTTTTCGGGCCACCGTGTTTTTGGCCGGAAAACTGGAAAACTTGCCGAAAAATTGAAAAACTTGCCGGAAAAAGTAAACTTACTTGTTTTCCGACGATTGAGGACGACGGGAGGTTGGCTGGCGACGGAGGAACAGTGTCGGCGACAGAGACACTGGGCTCGTCGACAAAAGTGTTTTTGTTGGAATGAGTCAAATGTTAATGATATTCGAATTTATAGAATGAAAGGAGGGGAAGGAAGGGAGAATTCAAAATTTGAATTCAACTTTTTTTTTCGTTTGCGACAAATAGCAATTTGGTTGGCGGCAAATAGCCGTTCACAATTCTAACTTCTAAGTAGCTTACTGTGACAAACACCGCATATTATGACCACTACTTTTTTCATAATTGATTGTTATCATAATTAATATTTTGTCACAAAAACAATATTTAGTCATACTTTTTCTATGCCGGTAATTTTCCATAAAAGGTTTAAGGATCATCATTGTAATTTGTGAATATTCATATTTTTTAATGAAATCCATAATCAATGACAAATTTATTTTTGTCATACGCGCTCTTATTTTGACGAAACAAATTTGTCATATTATCTAAATTTTTAGTTTGGAAAATGTGATGATAACTTGTCTTTGTCACTTCTATTTGACATTAAGACAGATGTGGGTTGTCAAAATATATAATGAACGGCAAAACAAAATTGGCAGAATTGATAGCTATGTTCAAATTATGAGAAATTTTACAATGCTATATAGTATTGGTGCTATAGGATTTTGCCTTTATGGTACAACTTAAAATTGTACATTTACGTTATGGTACAACTTCAGATTGTACCTATATTTTTTGTACAAATTCCTTTATGGTACAACTTGAACTTGTACCTTTATGTGATGGTACAACTTCAAGTTGTAAAGTTGTACCATAACATAATGATACAAATTGCTTTATGGTACAACCTAAACTTATACATTTAATGTTATGGTACAACTTTAAGTTGTACATTAAAGCACCAATACTATATAGCATAGTAGAAGTGCTCTCAAATTATAACTAGAGATCCTTTTGTTTATATGTTCTTGTGTAATACTCGACAAGATATAGCATTTGAAGCTTCATTTATTTGATGCTCATATGTCCGTGACTTGGTTTCTTTTTCTCTGCTCCATCTGCCATCTCCAGTGTCTGGGATGGTTTGCATATTGAGTTTTTTTTATACATATCTACGCGTTTGCATATTGAGATATTTTTATACAAATCCTGCCACTACATATTCTAATAGTCACTAAGTTATCAGAATAGCGGATAATCCTGTTGCTAATGAGAATACTAAACACATCGAGTTTGATAGACATCTTACTCAAGACAACATCGCTGCTGGGGCCATTAAACTTTTGCAATATGCTACAACTTAATTAGTTTACTGATTTGATTAATTGCTAAATCTTTCCCCACAATTGTGTTTAGTTGGTTTGACTGGCAAGTTGGTCATTCTTGATACCCATATTCTAGCTTGAGGAGGAGCGGAGACTGTTGGAATCAAATGAGTAGTTTAAGAATCCTTGTGTTTCTTTGTTTAGTTTTTGTATTGATTTATGCAATTAAAGAGTAGACCTCTTTGTTTAGTTTTTAAACGAACCACACTTAACTCTATTTTCTCTTTGAAAAAATAATGCAAAAAAAACCACTTTAGATTTTGGCTGAGTTTTGGTATGGGAAAAACGTATATTTCTCTCCTTATTAAAACTAGAGGGGGTATGGTGCTATTTATAGAACATGAAGGGGTACGAACGAAGGGAGCTGCAACTCTTCGTATGGGTGGTTACACCCCAACCATTGCAATGGTTCGTTTAAAATATTTCAACCATTGTATCGGTTCGGCCTCATGGAATTTGGACCGGTTTGGTTATTCCAACCGCCGCATGGTTGGTTCAATTTGGTTCAACCTGGTTCGATTTGTTCCGGTTGGTTACACAAACCAATTTAACAGATTACCAACATATTACATCAAATCGACCTAATTCGCGGCCACACCTTCCCACAACTTACCAACATGGTACTTTAAGAGATTCTCTTGGATCTTTCCCCTTTCATTTTTATTCATATCACTAAAAATCACAACACACAAATGATGCTCGGGTTCGAGGTTATTAATTAGTTGCTACCTAGTGTGTCGATTTAGTAGCTGTTGTGCAGCAACCTACGTGGAAGCCAAGTATAGTTAGAACTTAGAAGACCTATTCTCTAGGTTTCAGCGTCTAGTTAACTTGAAGTTGACTTTGGCTATTAGGCTATTACCAGGATTGTTCCCTGTTAGAAATTATAACTTGGAAGATGGGTGCATGGCTCTCTTTCCCTGTTTCTTCTTGTTATTTTCAGTAGTAACAAATCCACATATTCTAGCAGCAATTGAAATTGTGGAAAAAAAGGAGTTTCTTCATTCATAAAATAAAAACAATTGACTTTTGAGATAGAGATAGTTCGAAAGTATCAAACAGAATCGCCTATGGCCGGCCATTTGTAGTAAATTATCATACTATAATTTGGAATAAAGTAGGTTGATGGTTATATTCCTCGAAGCCCCCAAGGCAACTTACAATACATTTATCTTATCTCATAAAATATTTCTAAACCTAACCCCATCGCCCCCACATTGCCTCTGATTACCCTATATAAATACCCACATACCTTGCTTTATAAGTTATAACACAGGTTCTACTCTAATCACACATACATCCCCCCTACAAATGACAGAAAAGATAAATTAGCGAAAACAATCGACAACCCTAATTTCCTTTACATCCTTATTCATACAAAATCGAAAGAAGCTAACTCTTTGCAGGAGAAAAATACCGGAGCCTTTCGTCCCACAACACCCTTATCAAAACATCGATTCATCATGAAGGTACGCGTTCAACGAATTGTACTCTATTTGTCTTGCTCTCTGTTTATCTCTCTCTTTTCTTCTCTCCTTTTGGAAATTTGTGCAACGAAAAAGGGATGTTTTCGAATCTACGATTTTTCAGGTTGAAAATCAAGGATGATACCACTAGACCAATCCCTCGCTCGTCACTGTTTGTATTTGTCTCCCTGACCCTATGTATACATGTAGCTAGCTATAACAAGTTACATACTCTACTTTGTTCTACAGAGAAAGGTGGTGCTGAGGGTTCCCAACATGAACAACAACCCCAAGTGCCGGACCAAAGTCATGACGATCGCAGTTTCTGTTGCCGGTAATTAGCTATAGCTAGCTAGCCCTAATCTCATGCTTGCGTACGTATTACATATTTGATCATACTAATTAATATTGCGTGCATATATACACACACAGGGGCGGAGCTACTTAGTAACTAGGGTGGGCCCCGGCCCCCCGGGAATAGTCCCGGCCCCTAGGATCTTATGAATATTTAAATATAGTTTGGATAAGTAAGCTTGATAGTGTATTGTCACATTAATTAATCACGTAGTCCAACGGTAGCTACACCAATTTTTTGACTTGAATCACCCAAGTTCGATCCACATCTACCACTGATTTTTGCTTTTCCCACATTGTACCCTAGGGCCTAGACTAACGAAAAAGCCACAAACTAAAAGGCCAAAACCCAATCAAATTCATTCTTTTCCTTTTTTATAGAACGTGTATCGGAATTGACAATGAAGAATTGTCGAGCAAATTTTATTTTGTGGTTGATATGTCTTATTTTCGCTATATGTGATTTTGCATTTTCTGATGTGAAGAATAGATGTGAAACAGAATGAATGACAAATCTTTTGTTAATGATTTATTTATTTGTATTGAAAGAAAGATACGTAAGAGTTTTAATTT